TTAGTAGTGAGATTAAAAAATATCCAGTAAATGGTCTGGGTGGGACAATATGTAAAACGTTTGCATTAATATGAGTCTCCTGTAGGCGGATAATGTCAGGGTTGAGATCATTGATAAGAAGTAACAGTTCATGGTAATTGTTAAAATAACCATTCATGTTCCACTGTACTAATGAAAGAGACATAAGTCGTGACAAAAAGCAGATATTATTTACTTAGGGACTTAAGTTAATGATGTTATGGGTCACTCATAGCATCATCCGAGTCATCATTAATAATTTGGGGCTTTTGTTTATTTTTTTTTTTGTAGTTGGTTGATTTTGAGTTTTAGATGTTTTTGGTAAGTTTGATTCGTATTCATGGTGCAAATCTTCCAATAGTTTATGAGATGTGGGGGATAAGTTATACTTTTTTAGGGCATCGATCGATGCTAATTGATTGGACTGATAAGAGCGTGCGTAGAGGGAAGGGCAGAATAAGTTGGGACTTCGATGGTGTTACAGTAGTAACTATTTTGTCGTTTTTGTTTTGGTTTATATTTTCGTGACGGTTAGGTGTAGTTTTGACTACAGAAGAGTAGGAAGCGGTGTTAACCGGAGGTTGTGATGTTTTATATATGGTTTTGGCTTCGCGCATGCTGCATTTTTTAACTGTTTTTATTTTGAAAATCTCTTTTTGTTCCATGTATTTGGGGCATTGGCGAGAGGAGGCGGGGTGTTCTCCGAGACAATTGGCACAATTAATTTTCGTGCATTTGTTTGGGGTATGGGAGGGGGTTCTGCACATTCTGGGCAACGAGGGGTGTTTCGGCAATGCTTGGCTGTATGGCCAAGCAGCTGGCAAGACTTGCATCTCATAGGGTTTGGGGTGAACTCACGTACTTTAACCGAATGCCATGAAATGTCAATCTTGGAAGGGAGATTATATAATTCGAAGGTTAATAAGATAACACCACTCGGTTTGGACACGCCATCGTAAGATTTCGTAAATTTGTACACTTCAGTAACCTTTTGTCCTTTTAGTTCGTCAATGATTTCTTTTTCAGGAATATCGCAGAGATAGGGGGCATAAACGCTTCGTGGAGTTTACATTTCATTTTGCAAATACCTGTAAGTTCGGTAGTGGTAATAAATTTTTTGGCATCGGTTTGGCTTTTAACGAGCACGAGTAAATTTCCGTCCCTGAGATTTGAAATATTAAATTTTAAGGCACGGTGAACGGCAAAGCACGAAAATTGAGAGATTGTTTTTTCGGTGTTGTTAGACGCGATGATAATGAATTTTGGATTTTCCACTAAAGTTGGGGGTAGGTCCGGAAAAGACATATCCAATTTTTGCGGTCTTCTTTTTCTTCGCTTCAATATGCCTTCTCCAGGAAAGGCGCTTGTCTAAGTGGATGCCCAGGTAGGTAACTTTGATAACTTGTCCCTAACCAACAACCAAATCCCCCGTTTGTTGTTTAGGGACAACAACAAACAAATCCCCCGTTTGTTGTTTAGGGACAGTGATGGGCAGATTTCCCGATTGAGTGTGAACGTAAGGAGCTTACACTGTTGATCGTTGACTTGTATACGCCAATCTGCAAGCCATTTATTTTTTATACTTTAGCCAGTTTGTTGTATTGGAAGTCAGAAATTGTGGTATCTTTAAAAGCTGTGGGTCTATCTGTCTATTTGAACGACAGAGAAGAACTGGCGAATGATCAGATGACAGTTCATCCAGTGTTTCAACGCGTATCAGCCTGGGCGGCAATCTTCTAGTTACGGCAAAATCGATAATGACTGTTTGTTTATTCGGATCTGCTGGCTAGCATGTAGGCCTACCCGGTGAAACAAAATCTAGCTTATTACTAGGTTTGATAATAGCATTGTATATTTGGCGTCCTTTGGGGTTATTAAGACGAGAGCCCCAGTAGTGGTATTTCGCATTATAGTCACCGGCAGCTATAAAGCAGTTACCTAGTGAGTTGTAGAAGCTTAATCAAAAGCTCCAAAAGAAGGTTTTGGTTTCGCATTAGGTCTTGCAGGGTACTTTGTATCGCTAGCATGATTTTTGTAAGCGTAGATAGTGTATGTGGGGGGAAAGCTGGTTATGCTGAGTAGTGGGTTGAGTTGTTTGCTGGGTATTTTGCTCTGGCAGCGAGTCATCTTTTCGATTTGGTGTGGGCTGGAGAGAATGCATAACTTCAGGCTAAGTATACCTTACTGGCACTGACGATGCTCCAGAGCATCGAAGAGCTCTGGCAAAGGAGACTCCGGGTGTTGTTTTTGATGGCGCGAAGTAGTTTGGTTGAGCAAAATGTTGAACGGTAGTTGGTTTGCTGCGCCTCTGTTTTGAGTTCTTTATAGATAGGGCAGCCCCTATATTTGGCTGTGTGGTTTCCACTACAGTTACTACATTTCCTCGTGGCAGAGTCTTCTTTGTTTCTCAGACATGCATATATGCAGTGCAAATCACCACAGGCGACGCAGACTGATCGCAAGGTGCAGTAGTTCCTTGTGTGCCCAAACTCCTGACAGTTAGTACACTGTACCGGGCCGTTTCGCTTGTGTGGCTCCTCTACGGTAATTCTTCGGTGGAGAAGATATTGTAACTTGTAAATAGAGTGGACTGCATTTTTCTTAAGAGGTGCAGTCTCTGGCGCCAGTTCAATCTTAAATAGTGGCTGAGAGATTTTTGCCCTGTTGATTATATTGGTTACATGTTTATCGTCAAAACCTTGTTATTTTAGTCCCTCGGCTATATCAGCTACTGGGACGGTTGATTCTATGCCTTTTACTACAACTTGTAGTCCTTTGCTACTTTTGAGCTGGTAGGTGTAGTAATTTACCGGCACAAGGTCGAGGAAATTCGTTGCAGTGCGGTAGTTGCATTCGTTTTTTATTTGGAGTTTGGTTTCTGATATAGTACCTCTTTTTAAGTTGGTAATATAGAAGTTATTTGGCCCGATTTTTTGTTTAAGATTGTTAATAAGCTCCGAGCAATTGTGTTCCCTAATGGAGATTGGAGGTGGCTTTACATCTTCTCCAAGGTCACTGTCGGGTCATCCAGCCGCAGGATATATTTAGGTTCTCTTAATGCTAGCTCTTAGCTTATCTGCATAATTACCATCGCTCTCTCTCTCTCTCCCCTCTTTTTCTTTCTATTCGCTCCCTCTCGTTGCTTGCTGGCTTCTACTTTGAGTCAGCAATCGGCTGATCCGTGTCTCAATTCAATTGTAATACTTCTTTTCGATCCCGCGGACCATTGTAACTCTTTTTCGTCGAAAATAAAATTGCTGCCTTCGCAGAAATGAAAATCAAAATTTTCTTCGTGCATAATTAATTTAAACAGCTAATAAAAAAGCTTATTAGCTCAACATTTAATGACCCCGTCGTTATTTGTGAATAAAAGGGACTCAGTGAAAGTCACAAAAAATTAATTTATTTTACCAGGCTGCAAATTTTTCTTTATCTGTGTTGCAGCTACATTGTGCGTTGACCTGCCATAAACAATACAAATATTTATAAATTGATTTGTGAAAATAATATCACTCTTGGTTACACAAACTTGTACATAAGGAGGTATATAGACCAGCAGCGGACCAATTTTTCGCATTCTCCTTTGCGCTCATCTTCCCGCTGAAGCCGAATTTTGCCCGCTGAGTCTGCTGCATATCTCACTTTATGTTTGTTGCAAAACAATAAAATTAATTGATTTATGCAAATAATAGCACTCTGGTTACACAAGCTTTTACATAAGGCGGTATATAGACCAGAAGCGGACCGATTTTTCGCTGTTCCCCGTTACGCTTATCTTCCCGCTGAAGCCGAATTTTGCCCGCCGAATCTGCTGCATTTATTTTGTTGTTGTTGCTGCTTAACATGGCTTCAGAAAATTCGGTTAGCGTCACCGACAATCGCAATTCAAACAGGATGACATTTTTGAAGCGCAAGGCAACTTCAATGTTTAATAGAGTGAAGCGGTTAATGGAATCCCTTCCAAGTTCGGCTTTGAATTCTTTTGACGATTCTGGCCTTCATGTGAGGTTTGAACTTATCGAGGAGCTTCAAAAGGCATTTAAAAAGGTTCTCAACGAGCTGGAAGAATTGGATTTTTTGAGGAAATTGGAAATGACTTGGAGGAGAAATTTGATGATGTCGTCGTAGCTCTGAAGTCGACGGTTCGATCGGAGATCACAAAGCGCTCCTCGCAAGTGCTTCAGCACTCAACCTTTGCTGATGGCAATACGCCATCATAGATAGTCATCCTGACCTGACCAACATTGAAAAGCTGCAGCATCTACGTTCATGCCTAAGGGATTCTGCGTTGGAAACCATCCGCTCGCTGGAAATTTCGGATGGCAATTTTTCTGTTGCTTTAGACTTATTGCAAAATTTGATTTGATAATCGTCGTTTGGGTTTTCAGGCACACATTACTGAGATCCTGCTCTTATTGCTCAGGATTTCAGAACTGACATTGTGCTCCTTGCCACTGCCACCGTTCTCATAAAAAATCGATCTGGAGTTTTCGTTCCATGTCGAGCCCTTCTTGACTCCGGCTCTCAGCCGCATCTAATAACATCACGTTTCGCAGATCAGCTTCAAACAAAGAAGATAAATACTTTGGCTTCTGTTACTGGAATAGGTGATTCCAGCTTTGTTACAAATGGTCACTCAGTTAATATTACGATGCAGTCCCGAACGTTTGAGTACACGGTGAACATAACCGCAGTTATTGCTCCCAATATAACTGAGCGACAGCCTAGTTTCAATGTGGACATTGGCAGCTGGAAAATACCGCAGAACATTCAATTAGCTGACCCTACGTTTTGTGTCCCTCAGCGTGTGGATCTTTTGATTGGAGCCAGTTTGTTTTACGAGCTGTTGTGCGTTGGGAAAATAAGGCTCCCACCTGGCTTACCGCTTATACAAAAACTCGCCTGGGCTGGGTTGTTTCCGGAGGATATGGCGTCTCCAATGGCTCATCGTTAATCTCGACCATTGCTTTGCCTACCGTTAGTAAGGATAATAGCTTCGATCGACTTGATGATCTTCTTCGTCGATTTTGGGAGGTGGAAAGCTGCGTCGAGCCAATTACACATGCTACCAAGGAAGAGCTGGACTGTGAGGCGCACTTTACAAAGCATTTCATTCGCTCCCCTGCTGGAGACTATTCTGTTCGGTTCCCTGCCAAGCTCAATCTGAAATTATTGGGTGAGTCCTACCAGCAAGCTTATCGTAGATTCCTGTCCCTAGAGAGGAAGCTAGATCGTCGGCCAGCCTTGAAGGCCCAATATGCGGCTTTTATAAAGGAATACTTTGACTTGGGGCACATGTCAACAGTTGCTGGTTGTCGCTTCTTTTTGCCTCATCATTGCGTCATAAAGGAGGATAGTTCCACTACAAAGCTTCGCGTAGTTTTTGACGGATCTGCCGGTTCTTCATCAGGCTACTCTTTTAATGACGTGCTCATGGCAGGCCTCGTAATTCAACATACCCTGTTCCAGATTCTAATTCGATTTCGCTCATACCCGACAGCCATCACTGGAGACATTTGTAAGATGTACCGTTGTGTCAAGGTACATCCAGAGGACAGCTATTTGCAATGCATTTTAGGTATGGAGGTCTTCCCCACAGGACAAGCTGCAAGTGTTTCAGCTGGACACCGTCACTTATGGCACGAAGCCTGCATCATTTCTGGCTGTGCGGGCTATGCATCAGCTGTCAAGAGACGAGTATTCTTCGTTTCCGCTAGGGGCTGAGGTCATTCAGCGTGACTTTTACGTAGATAATCTGATATCTGGAGCCCAGACCGTGGACGAGGTTATGATGTAGATCAGACCTCTAATATTCTGTCCAGAGGAGGCTTTAAATTTAGAAAGTGGGGCTCAAACGTTCCAGCGGCTTTGTGTGGAGTGTCTGACGAAGATAAGGAGTCATATTTGAAGTTTGATGACGGCACTGACTTTACCAAAACTCTGGGTTTAGCCTGGGATCCTGCTTCTGATCAGCTCTTGTTCTCTTTTTCTGTCTTGCAGTTGACCTCAAGTCCCTGTAGGCGATCTGTCCTGTCTGCCATTGCACGTTGGTCCGGTGATGGCAAAATTAATGGCCGTCATCCAATCATATTGCCACGGAGCCATCCTGACACAGCCGCCGTCATTACTCACGTTCATGAGCGTAATCTGCACACTGGACCTCGGGCCCTACTCGGCATAATTCGATCCCGGTATGGGCCTATTGAGGGGAGGAAGACGGTAAGCAAGGTCTTGAACAAATGCGTCAGATGCTTTCGAACGAAGCCCCGATTAGTCGAGCATGTAATGGCGGATCTCCCAAAGGAGCGATCATGCATTTGAAGTCACTGGCATTGATTTTTGTGGGCCATTCTTTTACAAGCTGGAAGTACGAAACAAGGCCCCAGTAAAATGCTACGTTTGCGTCTTCATCTGCTTCGCAACAAAGGCCATTCACTTGGAGTTGATCAGGGATCTCTCAACGGTATCATTTCTGCATGGTCTCAAGAGATTTATATGCACCAAAAGAAGACCGCGGCAGATTTGGTCGGACAATGCAACGAACTTTGTGGGTGCACGTAATGAGGTGCTTGAGTTGAGACGCCTGTTCCTCAGCGACGAGCATCAGAAAGCGACGTTGGATTTTTGCCTAGCGGAGCTTATTGATTGGCGCTTTATTCCTCCCAGGTCGCCTAATTTTGATGATCTCTGGGAAGCTGCGGTGAAGACGGCGAAGTACCATTTCTACCGCGCTATTGGGTCTTCAGTGTTGACCTTCGACGAGTTGCGGACTCTTCTGTGCCATATTTCGGCAGAAAATCCCGCTAATCTGGATGTGCTAACGCCAGCCCACTTTCTGAATGGTGGTCCACCATCCTCATTCATCGAGCCGGATGTGACCGCCCTTAACTTGAATGGGTTGGATGGATGGCAACGTGTGGCCTATTTGCAGCAAGTCTTCTGGACCCGATGAAAGGAAGAACACCTGACGCTACTACAGCAGCGCTCCAAATGGCGTACCCCGAAGCCTGGCCTAGTTGTCGGTGACGTGGTGCTGGTCATGGATGAGAACTTGCCTCCGATGAAGTGGCCCCTAGCGAGAGTCGTTGAGCTTCTGAGTGGTCGAGATGGAGTTGCTCGAGTTGGAGTTCTCAAGACAACATCAGGAGTGACAAAACGAGCAGTTAATAAACTGTGTCTGCTGCCGCGTAAAGATGCTGTTGAAAGCCAGGCTTCCAACGGGGGAGTATGTCGGGTCATCCAGCCGCAGCAGATATTTAGGTTCTCTTAATGCTAGCTCTTAGCTTATCTGCATAATTACCATCGCTCTCTCTCTCTCTCCCTCTTTTTCTTTCTATTCGCTCCCTCTCGTTGCTTGCTGGCTTCTACTTTGAGTCAGCAATCGGCTGATCCGTGTCTCAATTCAATTGTAATACTTCTTTTCGATCCCGCGGACCATTGTAACTCTTTTTCGTCGAAAATAAAATTGCTGCCTTCGCAGAAATGAAAATCAAAATTTTCTTCGTGCATAATTAATTTAAACAGCTAATAAAAAAGCTTATTAGCTCAACAGTCATCAAGCATTGCAAATCTATTTTCAGCGGTTTCCTTGTTGTTGTTGCCTGAAGTTTTCGATGCTTTCCGCAGGTTTACATTAGTTTTTTGTGGGCTTAGCTTTTTTTTTTTTTTTGTACATACCGATCGAGCCCGGTCTGTACAAGCGTAGTTTGTGGGAGAGAGGCAGCAGAGACACATTGCAATTGCGATGATAATATCGGCCACAGTTTTGCCACCGAGGTTGAAGTTGTTGTTGTCGTCGTCGAAACAACAGTTGTAATAGAGGGCACCGTGCTAGTCAGCGCAAGAGCAACGAGTGGTGAGAGGGAAGATGGGCATTGGGAGCTCCAGCGCTGCTTGAGCTTAGGAGTGCAGGCAACAGAGAGCGCGTTTTCTCGGAAGCAGTCAATGACATTGCTTTCGTTGTTGCGTGTTCGTTTCTCACTGTCTCCGAAACATTTGCTGCATAAGCATTATTCCGAGAACTAGTGGGATCTTCAAGAGGGGGCTTAGCTGGGGCCACCAGGCGGGTCGCAGGTTGCGGATAGCGAACGGCTTTCTATAAGGTTAGTTGCGAATAGGCGCAAGCTAATAAGCAACCCCGGACAAACAGCGGGTACACCGGAGTCGGTGTACTGATGAGACGTTTATCTAGCCGTCTTCAAAAGTATAGCCTCACATACTCCTCTTCCCTCACGACTACCTATCAACTCCCCTCCCCACACAATCTCACTCCGGGCCGGACTAAGGTGTCATCCGACCCGTGCCGATAGTCAGCCTGGCTGGGGGCCCGGATTAACAAATAGCCCAGTCTCTCACGGAGGGTTCAGGCAAGTGGCGAACGCCTGTCCTAACTGCGCCTTACCCGGATATGTCGGATCCCTGCCCGGGTGGACCATACCTTCTCCGCAACTCGTGGGATTCGATTATGAAGAAACATACGAACACCAAATTGCCGCAGGAAATCCCTGCATCAAGTGCCGCAAGGCTCTTGGAAAACAGACTCCTTGACGGAGTGCGACCCCAGGTGGGACCAGCCCCACCCAGGAGCGCAGCATCCATCAGGAGTGCGTCACGGACGCAGAATGTGGGACAACCCCCACAACGATCGACTGTTCCAGTACGGGAACGTGGGCTACCGGCAGGACCATCCCGGCCGGCATGCCCACCCCCCGCGGCTGTACAGAAGACCAAGCCCGCCAATAAGGCAGATGTCCTTCCAGCCAGAGGACAACCAGGAGGCCTTGGCGACCCCAACAGGAAAGGCCTGTCGGGGTCCAAGGTCAAATGGTACCTCAGGTATCTTCAGGAGGGCATGACACCTGATGAAGCTTTGAAGAAGGCGAAGGAGCCACGACCAGTGGCACAAAATGTTGCCCCTGCCAGCAAGCGGGCAAATAGTACCCTCACCACTCCGATGGACACCCCCAAAAAGGTCCAAGTCAGAGGGCATCAAAGAGGCAGCGGCACCCTCCCCCCCGTCCCCCAAGGCCTGATGAGCCTAGCACATCGAAGGCGGCGGCGACGAGGAGACCCCCCTGAGGCATCTGCTGGCACACCCAGCGTGCCGAAGGCGGGTGACAAGGGTGAGAAGCAGCCACCCTCCACTCACTGGCACACACACCTCCTACGCGGAGGCCGCCAAGAGAGGAGAGTTGCGGTACTACCTGAGGACTACCCGCAGGTGTACCTGAGCAACGAAGAGCTTGCCGAGCTGGAGGAGGCCATAATGGACGACGTAGTCACGTCTGAATGGGACTCAGCAGAGGTATTCAGAGGTATCCACTTTAGGGTCGGATACCTCCTGATAGACTGCTTGGACCAGGACTCGGCGGACTGGCTGAGGGCTGTAACGCCTCAGCTAAGGACGTGGAAGGGCGTGCCCCTTGACACTAGGGTAGGAGAAGACATTCCTGCGGCATACAATGTCACAGTCTTCTGCCCTAGAAGTGCAGAAAAAAGCAATGAGGAGCTTCTGATGATGCTGGGACGCCAGAACAGAATGGAGGTCGATTCCTGGAAGGTGATCTCCCGAAGGAACGACGGAGGCGGGGCACTCCTCGTTATAGGGATAGACCAACTCACCCGAGATAAGATCGTCTCTAAAGGGCACCAGCTGAACTTTAGATTCGGGACCGTCTCGGTGAGTGGTCTCAGGAAGGCGGCGAAGATGGCGGCAACAGAAGCAGCGCCCCCCGGCCCCCAAAGACGGCAAAGTGAAGGTCGAGGAATCCCTCGGAAAGCCACAAGAGCCATTGGGTGCAAAGGAGGAGGCTATCGCCGATATGAACGTGAATTCCCGGCCCCTTCACAAAACATGGAGCACCCGCTCCAGTAATGGCTGCACACCGCAGCACGCAGCTAGCCCAGGTGAACTTACACCGGGCCAAGGCGGTATACGCCGTCCTGGCCAGGTTGTTCACCTCCTAACATCTCGAGCTAGCTCTCATTCAGGAGCCTTGGTGCAATCAGGGCATTAAAGGCCTGTACACCAAGGAATCAAAGGTAATATGCGACCAACGGGGTGCACACCCAAGAGCATGCATATTAATAAGGAAAGATATCAATTATAATATCCTTTCAGAGTTCCTAAGCAGTGACTGTGTCGCGGTAACGCTGAGCGGCACAGGAAAGTTACCAGCGATCGCCATAGCATCGGCGTATTTCGCTGGGGATGCAGAATGCGCACCACCGGAAATCATCGGACTCGTGGAATGCTGCAGGAGGAAGAAGTTACCCCTAATCATAGGATGTGACGCCAATGCACATCACGTGATATGGGGAAGCACCGACGTCAACAACAGAGGTGAGCAGCTAATAGAGTTTATTGTAAATAGTAACCTAGAAATCGGTAATGTCGGGTCCACACCGACATTCATTACTAGAGTAAGAGAGGAGGTCCTAGACATAACTCTGATGAGCAGGTCTCTAGGACCACTTATCAAGAACTGGCATGTGTCGCCAGAGGAATCAATGTCGGATCACCAAATCATTAGATTTGAAGTAGACTTCAACACCGCTAGGGACGACCCCAAAAGGAATCCCAAGAAAACAAACTGGGATCGGTTCAAGTCCTCTCTTGAGCTCGATCTCTCTAACGAACCGTCAGGTATACCCAGACATTCTTTAGAACTGGATCAGGCAGTGGATAACCTTTGCAAGAAGATAACCAATGCTTTTGAGAACAGTTGCCCTCTTGGCAGACGGAAAGCAGATAGAGACGGCCCATGGTGGAATGACAACCTGGAACGGCTCCGAATCTCCACCCGCCGGCTCTTTAACAGAGCAAAAACGAGCGAGGATAACTGGAGACAATACAAATAAAGCCTGACGCTCTACAACAAAGAGATCAGGAAGGGCAAACGGAAGAACTACAGAGACTTATGTGAGGCAATCAGCACTGCCCATGAAGGGGTAAGATTGCACAAGGCTATGGCCAAAGTTGCACCAGAAAGTAACCTAGCCCTGAGGAAATGTGACAACTCTTATACTTCCGACGACAGAGATAAACTAGCTTTACTTTTTAAAACACACTTCCCCGGGAGCTCACCCCTGGCGGAAGTTACGTCCAACCCAATGGAGGCATCGTCCACTCCAAGACACTTCAGACCAGGGACTGGGCAATTGCCAAGTCTCTAGTCTCTCCGGAGAGACTTAAATGGGCAATTGGGACCTTCCAACCATTTAAGTCACCTGGTATGGATGGTATCTCTCCATCATTCCTGCAGCAGGGACTGGATTTACTCCTAACCCGCTTAAGGAGACTGATTCTAAGCAGCCTAGCAATTGGACACATCCCAAATGCGTGGCGTAGAGCTAGGGTAGTCTTTATCCCCAAAGCAGGGAAGAAAGACATCACCAACCCAAAGTCCTTCAGACCCATCAGCTTAACTTCGTTTTGCCTTAAAACGTTGGAAAAGCTGGTAGACTACCATATTAGGAGCACAGTTCTTAAGGACTGTCCGCTGCAACCCACGCAGCACGCATACAGGGCAGGTCGTTCAACAGACACTGCACTGTACCACTTTGTCACACTCTTGAAGGGGTAGTGGACAACAAAGAAGTTGCAATCTGCGCCTTTTTGGATATAGAAGGAGCCTTTGACAATGCGTCGCATGATGCTGTCTTAGCAGCCCTCGCCAGAAGGAATATAGACGCGACAACAAGAAGGTGGATTGGAGCCTTGTTAAGCTCCAGGCAGGCAACAGCACAATGACCGTTGCCACAAACAGAGGATGTCCGCAAGGTGGAGTCTTGTCTCCTTTACTGTGGAGCCTACTAGTAGATGAAATACTAAAGAAACTCGCCGACAGAGGAATACAATGTCAGGGCTATGCCGATGACATAGTAATAGTATCCAAAGGGAAATTTGAAGAAACGCTTTGCGATATTGTCCAACTCGGACTCAAGATAACGCTTGACTGGTGCAGGGAAGTTGGACTTAACCTCAACCCCGCAAAAGCAGTCATTGTTCCTTTTACAATGAAGTACAAACTAAAGAAGATGAACCAAATCATGCTGCTAGGTACTCCCGTAGCAATAAGCCGGGAAGTTAAGTACCTCGGAGTTACCTTCGACAGAAGGCTAACGTTTGCAACCCATATGCAAAAGACAGTGGATAAGTGCCTCAGGGCTCTCTTCACCTGTCGGAAAATTGCAGCGAAATCTTGGGGAACCTCACCCCAAATTATCAGATGGTTATACCTTATAATTGTGAGGCCAATACTCACATATGGGTCAGTAGCCTGGGGTAAACGAGCTAGGCTCGTTACCACACAGAAACAGCTCCAAAGGCTGCAAAGACTGGCATGCATATTGTTGCATCCACAAGCGTTTTTGTGGTGACATGAAACTAGGATCTGGGCGGTGTGAAAAATGGGGCGTGAAAAGTCTGTACCGCTTAAAGAGAGTGTTCTTCGTTTCACTATTTCATTCGTACTGATCGTTTATTCTGCTGCGCAAAGTGCAGCTAGCATAACATGACTATCGTAACATAATAAATACCAGAAAGTTAACAGTCTCTGATATGTATACAGGAAAATACTAAGGGAATAACAAAGTTTGACCGAACATCCCGGCACCCTTGAAAGGATCCACTTTCAAAATTCTCAGTCCTTCAGGTCAGATGTAGGGATTAATGCCAACTTGTGTATTGGTCGAGAGCAGTAGCCGTTAGGTGTTCTGACATGAACAACTCTGACGAGACCGTCTTTTCCGACTACAACGAAGTCAATACGGCCGAGTTTCCAATGCTGTGGAGGACGATTGTCGTCGTGGATGATGACTAAAGATCCAACGGTGACGTTTGTTGAAGATTGTGACCATTTAGTGCGGGCTCGCAGTTCGTTGATGTATTCCGCTGACCAACGACGCCAAAACTCTTGCTTGATGGCCGTCACGACGTCAAAGCGCTGAAGATTGGTGATGTTGGCTGTGGTGACGTGGCGTTCCAGCAAGGCACGCAACGGCTTTCCAACCAGCAGGTGACCCGGAGTGATCGCTCCAAAATCACTCGGATCAGGCGATAATGGGGTTAACGGGCGTGAGTTGAGTATGGCCTCAACTTCAGCTGCCACGGTGGTGAGCTCTTCAAAGGTGGGCCGCGTATTCATAAGAGTTCTGTTCAGCAGTCCTTTTGCACTTTTTACTGCCGCTTCCCAAAGTCCGCCGAAATGTGCGGCTCTGGGGGGATAAAGTGAAAATTAATAAAATCAGAAGAACAAAAGGATTCAATTGCATTTCGTGTTGCGGTCAAAGATGAATTTCTTGAGTTCTTGAAGATGGTTAGAAGCGCCTGCAAAATTTGTGGCATTGTCACAATAAATGTCCGTGGGCAATGCGCGTCGAGCAATCATTCGTTTGAGTGCAGCGAGAAACGCCTTAGTCGATAGTTCTGAAACGACTTCTATGTGTACAGCCTTTGATGCCATACAGACGAAGATTGCCAAGTAAGACTTCACAGGACCCTTTCCACGGATGCGAAGATAAGTGTTGATTGGACCGCAAAAGTCGACGCCGCACTTCGAAAAAGGTTGTTGCTCTTGTAGTTTCGGTTTGTAGCGAACACAAGAGACGCACGATCGAACGACTCGCCGGGTTAAGTCTCTGACATTGACTATCCAGAATTCCAAACGACTGAGCGCCACCAAAGCTTTCGGTCCAGCGTGAAAGTTTCGAAGATGAAGATGTCGAACATAAATCCAGGATATATGGGACTTCTTAGGCAAAAGAATCGGGTGCTTCTCACGTTCTGAGATGTTGGCGTTTTCGAGCCTGCCGCCGACTCTGATGAGCTGGAAACCTGAGGAAGATTCAATGAAAGGGTTGAGAAATTTCAGCTGTCCTTTCAGCGGTCGAGATTTTAGTAGCAGCGGAAATTTGATTGAAAACGATTGATGTTGGAGATTCCATATGATGCAGTTGGATGCATGTTGTAGTTCCTCCGATGTCAATCCAGCCGCTTTGGTATTATTCGTTTTGCTTGTGAGACGATAGAAGCGGAATATCCATGCGATTACGCGTAGACACCGAGTATACGAGCTGATTGATTCCATCCTTTCAAGTAAATGGTTTGACCCCACAACGGCTGTGAATGTGCTTTTTCGTTTCTCTGAATTAACTACTTCCTGGTCAAGATTCCTCAGCTTGGGAGGCTGAGGCCAATCTGACATATGTTGCGATAGAAAGGGCGGTCCAGAAAACCATATTGAAGCTTGGAGTTCGTGTGTTGTAGCTCCTCTGGACACAATATCAGCTGGGTTGAGCGATGTGGGTACATATCTCCATTCTCCAGTCGATGTTGAATCTTGTATTTCGGATACTCGATTTCCTACGAATGTCGATAGTGTAACAGAATGCTCCTGTAGCCAATGCAGTACGATCTGGGAATCCAAAAGTATGAGGTATACGGCTTGTCCTGTAGCATCGGGAGGACCTTAGTATACAACTGCGCCAGCAAGTGCGCTCCGTACAATTCCAATTTTGGAAGAGACTTCCTTTTTACCGGGGCCACTCTGGACTTAGAAGTAAACAGTTGAACACCGATGGTTCCGTCAATGCCTACGGTGCGTAGATAAATGGCGCAACCATATGCTCGGATTGACGCGTCACAGAATCCGTGAATCTGAACTGATGGGTATTGAGCTTGTAGACAATAGCGTGGCACCGAAAGGTTTGAACAGGTTCTTAAGGATTCCAAGCACTTGCTCCAAGCGATTTGCAAGTGTTGCGGTACCGATTCATCCCAACTCAATCCTGCTAGCCAGAGTTCCTGTAGAATGATCTTGGCGACGATAATTAGCGTTGACAGCAATCCAAGTGGGTCGTATAGTGCAGACGCAACAGATAGAATCGTACGTTTTGTGATTGCTGCAGGCACGGTTTTGGGCGCAAATGCAAATCGTAGGACATCGGAATTCTGATCCCACTGTACTCCAAGTGCACTAGTCATAGCGTTTATGCATGGATTGAGATCCTTGTTGTTACGACTCTCGACGAATTCCATGTGATTTGAGTGCCATTTGGTAAGCGGAAACTGACCGCGTTCTAGTAATTTGGTAACTTGATCCTTTATGACTGACAGAGTCGATATTTCGTCTGCACCAGTTATTAAACCGTCGATATAGAATGAAGTCCTTATAACGGCAGCACCAATGGGAAATTCAGCGCCATGAAGATCCGCTAAATGGTGTAGGCTACGTACAGCGAGATATGGTGCGGAAGCCGTTCCGTAAGTGATCGTATTAAGCTGATATGTGCGTAGTTGATCGCCTGGAAAATCTCGCCAGAGAATGTACTGAAATTTGCGGTCACTAATATCAACATTTACTTGCCTGTACATCTTCGCTATGTCGGCTGTCAGGGCATATCTTGAAAGTCCAAAACGTAGCAGTAGCATGAAGAGATCATCTTGAATCGTGGGACCGCAAAGTAAGATGTCATTCAAGGAGACTTGACTTGACGTTTTGCAGGACGCATCGAATACAACTGGAAGCTTTGTAGATTTACTGGCTGGCTTTATCACACAGTGGTGAGGAATGTAGTAGTGAGGGGCCGATAAATTGGGATTTGCCACTAGCTCCATGTGACCCATTTGTTCATATTCGTTCATGAACGTCCTATATTGGGCTTAGACTTCCGGTGAACGTACAAGTCGCCGTTCGACGTTGAGAAATCTTCGACGAGCAATGTCAACCGAATTGCCAAGCTGAGTAGGGGCATCCTTGAATGGTAACTTAACGACGATCCTTCCGTTTGCTTCTAAGCGAGTTGACTGCTTGAAGTGTGTCTCACATAACTGATGTTCTGGCTTAAGTCGTTCACCCGAGGTGCTGATTGTTTCGACCTCCCACAGACGCTTAAGATTTGCATCAATGGCTGCAGAGCTTTGAGCCAGATATGCGTAGGACTCCTTTGATTGGTTTGGGCGATGGCTTCCCGCTACTACCCAACCGAATAGTGTCTTCTGGAGAGTCGGCAAATTGGAGCCCAGTTTGACTTGGCCCACTGCTAGAATATCGTAGAATGCCTCTGCACCTAGCAGCATGTCGAAGTTTCGGGAAAGATGAAATTGTTCGTCCGCTAACGGCGTGTTGGGTGGAAGGTTCCAGTTCGAGATGTCAATTTGAGTATCCGGTTGATATGCAATGTTAGGCGTTATGCAGAGATCGAGAGACAATTCGAAAGGCGAAAGACGAGATTTGTTTGTTGTTGATGTACGGTGTTTGATGTGCGTGTTCGAGTCGCCGATACTGCGAATTTGAACACTATGTTTGTCCCTCGGCAATCTAAGCATTTGAGCAAAAGCCTCGGTTATAAAATTGACCTGAGAGCAGGAGTCGAGAAGCGCTCTTCCGAGTCTGAAGGAGCCAACTGAGTCCTGAACTTGTACCATTGCTGTGGCTAGGATGACTTGTGATCCCCCTCTTGCATCTGATTGAGCGTGCGCATGGGTTGCAGCTCCGATAGGATACGGCTGCACATTCACGTAGTTTGGTGCTGCGCTCAATTGTGGTTGAGAATAAGCTGCTGTTCCGCTGTGCTGGGACGAGCTTGTCGAAGGAAATGATAACGACTTCGGAGAGTTGTGGTGATGCAAGAGCGTATGATGCGGCTGATTGCAACTTCGACAGCGATTTTTCGACGGGCAATTTGACACCTTATGTCCCTTGCCAAGATAATTGACGCAAAGGCCATGTTTTTTCACCACTTCTAGGCGTTGCAGTGAGTCCAAATTCCGAAACTGGTCGCAGGCAATGAGTCCAGCGCTGGAGCAAAAGACGCATGTGGTCTTGGTGAGTGCAAATGATACGTTGTGAGCGTTGTTGGTTGCACCCGATATTGGTTTAGTCTGGACAGGCCTTCGAAGTTGAGTTGAGGAAGATCCACTGGATACTAGAAATTGGCAGTGGCGTTCGAGCACAATAGCGCACTGGGTCCAGGATGGCAACGAAGAGTAGTCCAGGGATACATTCCATTTATTCCGAGGTTGTTGATCGCACTTGTCCATGACCAGGTAGATCAGCATTGCCTCCGAAATTTGTGCATCTGAGCCCAGCGACGACAGAGAGCTGAATAGGGCGGATGAATTATCGATCAAGCTTCGCAATTGTTGTGCATTCGAAGAGTTAACAGGCTGCAATTTAAAGATTGTGGTTATTGTTTGCATAAATATTAGCGCTGGCTTGTCGTATCGAGCCTTCAACTTATCCAAAGCCTTGGGAAAGTTTTCGCTGGTCACTGGAAACGCCTTTACTGCTTCCAGAGCTGGGCCCTTCAAACAGTTGAGAAGATGGTTGAATTTCTCAATTGATGACAAATTCTCACGTCCAGTAAGCTGCATAAACGAAGTAATGAAGTTTTTATACTCCGTGTGAGTACCATCAAAGGTTGGCAGCGGCAGCCTTGGGAGCTTTGACTGCGGCAGTGCCGGTGGATTGGATTCGAGCATTGTGCTGCTTAGATTTTCACCGAGTAGTTGTTTGATAGCCAATTTGGTCGCTATATATGACTCCTCAATGTCAACACGCCCGTTGTCCGCTGAATCCAGAGTTTCAATTTTAGTTTGAGTCACTAGCGCCTGTTTAAAGTAGGATTCCAAAATTCCCAGACGGCATTGGAGTTCAGCGGTAGAGCGGTTGAAAGACTCCTCTTCAACATGTTCGTCAACTACTGATTTAATTCGCGAAATGTTTCGTTTGACATTGGCTCTTAGACGTTTGGCCTCGTCAAGTTGGGTTACACTTGGAACCATTATTTTTCAGTTAGGTTAAGGTTGAAGCGTATCAAAGTTCTGAACCGGTGTAGCGCGAAGACTTGCCGTTAGATTCCGAAAGCGACAAATTTGTTGAGCGACAAGCGGCTACACAGTTGCAGAAATTAGCGAAAACGAAAGAACTGCAAGCAAAGATTCCCTTTCAATTTCGGTTTAAGTGAGGAGAGGAATTTCAAGCGCAAAGCGAAATCGAAGAATTGTCCCGTTTGTTAGCGACACTTGACTGCTCGCACTTGTGATCGTATGCGTATGTGTGCAGCTGTGTGCATACGGATCGCGCGAGAACGTTTAATTTATGAGTTTATTAGTTTATTTAAATGCTTATTTAACACACTGTCCCACGTTGGGCGCCAAAATGTTGCATCCACAAGCGTTTTTGTGGTGACATGAAACTAGGATCTGGGCGGTGTGAAAAATGGGGCGTGAAAAGTTTGTACCGCTTAAAGAGAGTGTTCTTCGTTTCACTATTTCATTCGTACTGATCGTTTATTCTGCTGCGCAAAGTGCAGCTAGCATAACATGACTATCGTAACATAATAAATACCAGAAAGTTAACAGTCTCTGATATGTATACAGGAAAATACTAAGGGAATAACAAAGTTTGACCGAACACATATGTATGACAGGAGCAATGAGAACCTGCCCCACTGCGGCACTGGAAGTTCTCATGGAACTCACTCCGTTACACTGCGTAGTAGAGTTACAGCGGAAGGCCACCCTACTAAGAATCACTTCTTGTGGTAATGGCAGTGACCGCATCCTCAGTTCTGGGGATGCAGCAAAACTACTAGTCGAACTTCCCCTGAGCTCACACCCCAGGGACGAAATGACAGTAGAATTCATCTTTGAAAAGAATTTCTCTGCTCATCTGAGCAACAAGAAAGAATGGACCACCATGAAGGAAGTACACTCCATGCGAGTCACACTATAGCATGGTATACGGACGGGTCTTTAACACACCAAGGCACTGGCCTTGGAGAAGTAGGACCACGAATCAAATACCATGAATCGTTAGGCCAATACACCAGCATATTCCAAGCTGAAGTTTGCGCCATAGGACGGTGTGCAGAGCTCAATATAAAGCGTGGGTACACAAACAAGGACATTGCGATCCTCTCGGACAGTCGAGCGGCAATTACTGCACTATGCAGCAATAGAATCACCTCGAAGCTGGTACGAGAAGTAAGAAAAAAGCTGAACCTTCTGGGCAGCAACAACAGGCTGTCATTAAGATGGATTCCAGGACACAAATACATATCCGGGAATGAACTAGCCGACAGGCTAGCAAAACTAGGGGCGGAACGACCCCTTATAGGACCCGAGCCTTACTGTGGCATAGGCAGACACACAGTCAAAGATTACCTAAGAACGGAAGAGGTACATATGAGGCAAGCCTGCTGGGTAGACACCACAGGCCAAAGACAAGCCAAAACCCTCATCGTCAATTATGACATGAAGAAGTTTAAGAAACTTATACTACTAGGGAAGAGATCACTTAGGATAGTTACTGGCTTACTAACCGGACACTGCAAACTAAGGAGACACCTATTTAATATAGGGATTACAAACAGAAAAACATGCAGATTCTGTGATAGCGAGGATGAAACCTCCCTACACATAATATCAGATTGCCCAGCACTAAGTAGCCTGAGGAGCAGAACCCTCGGGTCCAGGTTCCTTACGCTTGGGAACTCTGGAAGCATCGACCCGATAAAGCTCCTTAACCTTATTGAAGGAGCCGGGTTGATGGGTGAGCTCTAAGCTCAGATAGGGGGCCAGTTTAAAAAATTGTTAGAATAATGTAGTACTTTAAGATTTTAACACATTTTGTTAGTTTTTTTTGCAGTTTTTCCTCGTGCGAAATAAAATTTAAAAATTGCCCGAATTTCTGCGTTTGTGAACTCCATTTCAATCGATTGTAATTTTTTGTTGTGGAAGCTCATGTAAACAAACTATAAGTAATTTTAAAGGTGATGCCAATACCTTTCAAACGATATACAGCATTGCCAGATACGATTATATTTGACTTAACAAGCGAAGCGCGAAATTTGAATGTAAAAACCGGTATGTCATTACCAAACAACCTAATATTCGTGAATTCTCAGTTTAAATTCAAATAATTAAACATTACTTTAACACTTTCCCTTGATAATTAGAGTTGAATTACTGAGTCTCTCCCTCTATCTACATAAGTTCTATCTTCACCGAAAGAATATTCAGGCGTGTTCTCTGCAGCGGCTTCGGGAGGATGTCCGTCAATTAATCTTCTATGGAGATTTGTTGAACCCTAAGTTTCCCTTCTATCACTTTTTCTCTTATAAAAAAATGGGTGATGGAAATATGTTTGGTTCTGCGGTGAAACTCCGGGTTTTGAGACAGCTTCACTGCTGCGGAATTGTCAACTTGTTTGATGGGAACGTCTTTGAGTTTGACGATCCATCTGAAGAGCCTGCTTAACCAAATTGCTTTTTTTGCTCCTTCGCACAGTGGGCGATTTGGTCTCGCTAGCGGCATTTAATTAATAACTTCTAAACTAAAATAGATATCTTTAGTTGGTTTTTTTTCACTGATCAAAGAAAAATCATACAATTTTTTAAGTTAAAAAAAGTTTTTTTTAAATATTTTTTTATTTTTTTTTTTTTAATTAAAAAAAATATTTTTTAATTTTAAATTTGGTTTTATTTTTATGTTTTTTAAACTTCAATTAATATATTCCATAAACAAACATAATTAAAAAAAGGCAAGAATTTTATTCAGAATCATCGGAATCAGACGGCGGCATAGTAAAAATACTAAAATATACTGAAAAAGACCCCTTTTTGCTACTGACATTGTGC